TTTACTTCAATCAGAGCAAATAATGCCCTTCTGGCCCCCTATCTAGGCAGAAGTAAACTTTGCTACTTTCAATCAAGCCAAGCCATGGCCCCAGTTCAGTAGATGTTAATTGAGCACAGAACTTTGTTGAGGCTCAGAGGAGGAAACAGGTGATAAATTGGGGCCCTACATCAAGAGAAGGGATAGAAAAAGGAAAATGAAATACCAGATCACCAGTGAGTTCAAGACTAAAGTGAAAAAAACAAAAAGACTAAAGTGAAAGACTAGGAAATTCTTTTCTAGAAAAAAAAAAAACGTAGTGAGAGAAAAAAAATGTAGTGGGAAAAGTGACTTAAAGAGGTCAAACTGAGCAAAAAGCAACAAGAAAATGGCTAAGTTACAGGTTAATACTCTGGAAGGGGAATAAAGGGACATGAGCAATGCAAGTAAAAGTTTTATTTTGTAAGCAAGAATTAAAAGCAAGTGACATGAGCCCAGCAGGTGTGGGTTGACCCATGAATCAGGAGGTCAGAGTTCGATTCTGGGACAGGGCACATGCTTGGATTTCGTGCTCCACCTCCAGCAGAGGGCTTGCAGGAAGCAGCAATCAATGATTCTCATCACTGATGTTTCTATCCCTCTCTCCCTCTCTCTGAACTCAATTAAAAAACACACACACACACGGATCATTGTGTCAAAAAAGCAACTTTTAAGGTTATGATCCTATCACAGCCTTCAAAAGATTAATATATGGAGGGATTCAAAGAAGACATTATAAAATATTAACAGTTACCCCCTGATTTTGAAAAGGAGGAATGGAAAAAAATTTGGTTGTACCCTTTACTCAGTCTTTGGCACTCTCAGTATGGCCACTTGGTGGCTCCAGATGACTTTAAATAGATATTAGCTAAATTTATCCATAAAATCATCCATCATGGAACAGACAAATTTGTTATTATCTTGTCAGCATTATGGGGAAACTTTATAAAGACAGCTGAGGTTATTTTCAGATTATGTATCACCTGTCAATAACATAATCCTTAAAAAATTGCAAAGGTATAAAAAAAAAATTGCAAAGGTGGGACAAGACCTGGAACCAGAGCCTCAAGGACCCGTTGACAGTGTTTGTTAAATATCTCCTTACAACTCTACTTTCCTTATTTTAACCATTTTTTTCCTATCGGTGACATTCATTTTTGATGCTATTTGGTACAAAAATTGGTATTATGTCTTCTTTATGCTTTGTAACATTTTTTATTGTATAGAGAGACTTCATCCTTAGAGTTGAAGGTTACAAGGAGTGAAGTAATGAAGAACAAAGTTTCGCAATGAGAAATTACAAAACCAATTCACTCACGTATTTTACTGTCTAAATCCAAAGCCCCTCAGACTGGTTCCTCCAGGGCTAAGCAAAGAAAATGAAAGCAGCTCTAGTCAGTTTGGTTCAGTGGAGAGTGCGTCAGCCAGTGAACCGAAAGGTCCCAGGTTTGATTCCGGTCAAGGGCATATGCCCAGGTTGTGGGCTCTGTAGGGCGCAGTATAGGGTTAAGCCTTGAATAGACCTGTTGGCAAAGCCACAAACAAGTCCCAGCTTAGAGGGCACAGTCCTCTTAGCATAATTAGGCTTGACCTTATGACGGTTTCCTAGATCCTTCCTAGGTAGCTAATGGGCTATGGGAGGCGCAGCAAGTGCTGCCAAAACAAGTGAAACTCACAAAAACATTGTAACTATGGTGTCCACTACCTTGTTTACCTCTGGCTATAAAATAAAGGCTCAGCTTGCCTGGGTCTCTCTCTGTGGCCTCAGCCAGGCACAGGAAGATCCACCTAGACCCAGCTTATTCTCTTTGTCTATCATTTCTTCATCCTTCACCGCCCTCACTCATGCTTTAGAACCCTTGGCTGAGCTGGCTGGCACAGGGCTCCATCCCCAGTAGGGGGCGTGCAGGAAGCTGCGGAGCCATGATTCTCTCTCATCAATGATGTTTCTCTCTTTCTCTCCCTCTTTCTTCCTCTCTGAAATCAATAAAAATATATTTAAAAAACACACAACACAAATGTATTAAAAAAAAAAAAGGAAAGAAAAATGAAAGCACATGATCCACTGGAAGTCTTCTTGGTAGAAGAGTTTTAACTTGCATTCAGTCACACAGCTAGAAAATGTTGGAGCCAGAATTAAAACCGTGCCCACCTCCCACTCATCAGAGCCAAATTAGGAAGCCTTGGAGATAACGGAGTGGAAAAACTGATTCATCTTGGCAGATTCTGCTAACTTCTAAAAACCTTTCTGTTTTGAAGCTGGCATGGGGTCAGCAAGTAAAACTGAAGGTTTGCCAATTGTAGGAAACTTTTTAAAATATATATTTATTGATTTTTTTACAGAGAGAAAGGGAGAGGGATAGTCAGAAACATCGATAAGAGAAACATCGACCAGCTGCCTCCTGTACACTCCCCACTTGGGATGTGCCTACAACCAATGTACTTGCCTTTGACCAGAATTGAACCTGGGACCTTTCAGTCTGCAGGCCGACGCTCTATCCACTGAGCCAAATTGGTTTGGCCAATTGTAGGAAACTTAATATGGGGTCTCTGCATAAGACCAGGACCCCAGATGACTATACTTCCAAAAATGAAACTAAATCAGAATTAAATTTTGCCATCCAGATGGAAATGTCAAAGAACATAATCTTAACTTTGCCTTTCTCTATTATGTCTTGACCTAATAATTAGTTACTACAAACCAGCCTTGTGACTAATTCTACGTGTAGGAGTCTGAAATTTTCCAGGTGATAATGTGAACTGGCCTCAGGTTGAATGCATCCTTGAGAGAATGGCTCAAGCAAAAAATTATCATTTTATAAAAAGGTGACATTATCTCCCTACCTAATGTCAATTTTAAAAAATTAACCCCAGGTGGTACAGGATTTAAATGTTAAGATAGAAACGTCAGGCCCTAGCTGGTTTGGCTCAGTGGATGGAGCGTCGGCCTGCGGACTGAAGGGTCCTGGGTTTGATTCTGGTCAAGGGTATGTACCTTGGTTTCGGGCACATCCCCAGTAGGGGGTGTGCAGGATGCAGCTGATCGATGTTTCTAACTCTCTATCCCTCTCACCTTCCTCTCTGTAAAAAATCAATAAAATAGGAGGAAAAAAAAGAAACGTCAGCATTCTCAGTAGAAAGTATAGTGAATATTTGTAGGCCTTCAGGCAGGAAAGGATTTCTTAAGCAAGACACTTACTATAAAGATTGATGAACTTGACTGCATTAAAATTAAACATTTTAGTCATCAAAAGACACCTTAAATAAACTGAAAAGACAATTTAACCTAGAAGATACTGAGAATACACACAACTGACAAAGGATTAGTAAGAGACTGAAGAATACATTAAATAAAATACTTTCACATTTTTATATCTTCCATACTTGTTTTTTACAATGTGCATTCATTATTATGTGATTTTTATTTATTTATTTTTATTATTTTTCTAAGAGTCTTCACATGAGAACACTTTTTCCGTTGATCTTTAGAGAGAGGGAGAGGGAGAGAGGGAGGGAAGGAGAGAGCGAGAGAGAGAGCGAGAGAGAGAGAGAGAGAGAGAGAGAGAGAGAGAGACATCAATTGGCTGCTCCTGCATGCCCCTTACTAGAAATTGAGCCTGACGCCCTGGCATGTGCACTGACCTGGAGCGACCTACCTCTTGGTGCATGGGACAACACTCAGCCAACTGAGCAACACCAGCTAGGGCTGTTATGTTGATTTTAAAAATTAAATTGAATTAGTAAAAACATCCACTAAAGTTAGATTCAACACTTCTCTTATACAAATTATCTATTGATAACGGTTGATGCCTAGATGATGTGGATGAGGGAATTCAGTATATTAATACTATCTCCCTTATACAAATGATCAAAAATGTCCATTAAAATGATTAAAAAAACAACACTAGCTGGTTGTAAGAACAAAACAGTTTGTGCAGCAGCTGCTATCTATTCTAAAACAACTACCAAATAATATTTCTAGAGATGCATTAGAAAAAGTATATAAACATGCATGGAATGATATAGACCAGCTTCAGGAGAATGATATCCTGTGGCGAGAGAAAGGAAAGCTATTTGAGTGATATCTATTTTAAAGAGGAGAGAAGTGAGGCAATGTGGGGGAATGTTAACATATTGTAGGGGTGTTGTTCATGGGTGTTTGTTATATAACTTTTTGAATGTGTGAAATCTTTTATAATTTAAAGTTTTACCTAAAATTAAAAACATTGGGAAGAAATGTACATTCATATTGTTTTAGGATTTTGGAAATAAATGGGATTTGTCTATACTTGCTACATATTCTATAAGGAACAGCTTTGACTTTTATATTTTAAAACACGAAACACTTGCTTGAATGACTTAGAAGTAGTAACTAACCAGACAATCAGAAGATAACAGGAACCAGAAGAGAGAAAAATGTAGATTCAATGAGCCTGCCCTCAGCCTGATTTGCCTACCAAACTCTGGTTCTCAACCTGGGCTGCTCATTAGAATCACGTGAGAATCTTTTTAAAATCCTGATATCTGGGCCTCATCCTCTGGAAATTCTGTTTCTTTGTTACTAAGGTTGTGGCCCCACCCCATAACCAAGAAACAGACTTTCCAGAGGATGAGGCCCTGAAATCAGGATTCTAAAAAGATTCCCAGGTGAAAGCACAAGGAGATCCAATGACATCTTGTGCCAGATGCAAAAAGGAGCTCGAAGACGAATGGGAGAGTAAATGACACTGGAGAGTAAGTCCTTAAGCTTTGTGTCCGCCTTCACTGTGTGTATTCACATAGTTAAATGCTAACGAGAGCTCTGTGAGAGCCACTCGACCTCGCTCTGGAGCTGCAGCTCCCAGCATGGTCGACCAGCCCGGTGCTGTGGTCCAGGAGGACCCATGGATGTCTGCCCAGGCCCTGGACAGGCTGCTGAAGATGCCGCTTCCACTGCCACGGATTCGCACCCGGCTCTGGTGGTTTCCTGCGCTGGAGCTGAGAGACCCATTGGTGTTTTACCTGGAGGCATGTCTGGCTGACCCCATCTTCGGTGAGCGAGCCGGGTGTGCGGGTGGCCTGGTCCCCTCCGGTCTGAGAGAGGCCGGGCAGGGCACCTCTCTACTGCCTTTCCCAACGTCGAGGGCCACGTTTGACGCCAGGAAGCCGACGGCGGCGGCCTTCCCTTCCAATCTGCCTCCTCTTCACCTTCGACCATGCCACCCCTCAGTCTCTCTCTTCCTGTGTAGGCAAAAACGGAGCCATGATTCCGGAAATAGAGTGGATGAACCAGGTCCTGCTGACGGTGGAGAAGGTGAACTCCGGGAGCTTAATCGAAATCACCGTTTTCGGACAGCCCCGTGTCCAAAATAGGGTGAGGAGCGTGCTCCTGAGCCTGGCAGCAAGGCACCGGGAGAACCGCGCCCGAGGTGAGGCTCTTTGCAACCTGCAGTGAGAATCTTTTTAAAATCCTGATATCTGGGCCTCATCCTCTGGAAATTCTGTTTCTTTGTTACTAAGGTTGTGGCCCCACCCCATAACCAAGAAACAGACTTTCCAGAGGATGAGGCCCTGAAATCAGGATTCTAAAAAGATTCCCAGGTGATTCTAATGTGCAGCCAAGGTTGAGAACCACTCCTTAAAGTGACTTCCAGTCAACATAGTCTCCAATGCAAACCACACTGTTAGTCAGCTGGGGGTGGGGGGTAATGCCAATAGGCAAAAACGGAGCCATGATTCCGGAAATAGAGTGGATGAACCAGGTCCTGCTGACGGTGGAGAAGGTGAACTCCGGGAGCTTAATCGAAATCACCGTTTTAGGACAGCCCCGTGTCCAAAATAGGGTGAGGAGCGTGCTCCTGAGCCTGGCAGCAAGGCACCGGGAGAACCGCGCCCGAGGTGAGGCTCTTTGCAACCTGCAGGTGGAGGGAGCCCAGGTGAACCCCCTGGCGGTACCTGGCTTCCTTCCAGCCTCTCTTCCCTTCCCAATTCGTTTTGCAATTTCCCAGCTCCAGTAAGGTGCAGGCAGCCCCTGGGCATCCCTTTGTGCGGAGTCCAAGTAGGAACTTGGGTTAGTAAGCTGAGATCTGACACATTCGTGCCCTTCACTGCCCGTGTCGGCCTCAGTTTGATTATACAACTATTTCCAGATCCACGTTCAGAACCTCCACCCAGAGAAAGGGTGTTGCCAGCACCCCTCCCCCCAGCCCCTCCCCCTGCCCGCCTTGACCGAGTAATTTGAAACAGTGAGTATTTTTGCTTATCCAGATAAGAAGATAAAACAACTTGAGAAGTTCTTGAAGGCCCATGGGTCACCTCCCCCGACTCCCCAGTCTGCCCAGGCTCGGTCTCCTGTCGCATGATATCGGCGGGAGCGTTATTGAGAACCGACCTGCTCCTGCTCCTGAAGTTCAAAAGAAGCAAGTGTCCTTACATCTCAGCTTCTTTCTTTCTTCTGCTGGATGGATGGGTGGTTTGGTTATTCTGATGCAGATGTGAGTGCTGTTGTAATAAAATGAATTTCCTTTTTGTCCACTGGCATAAAAATCTTTGCTCACTTAAAATTAAGCAAATTTACAAAAGATCGACAGTTCATGCATGTCTTTTTTTAAAAAAATTTTTTTTGTGGGTTTATTTGAGCCAAACTGGACAGTTGCTGGGAAGCAGAACCTCAACGAATTGAGATAATGCTTCAGAGAATGGGGGTTTCTCATTTATTTTTATACATTGTAATCAAAGGAGGTCACCGTAGGTGAGTTACATGAAATCCATTGGTGATAGATTAGAGAGGCGGGAGAAAGCAAAGGGGAAACCTCTGGGATTGGGTAAAAAGTAAAATGATAGACACACACTTAGGTGGGTGGAGGAATAATTAACATGATGACAATGAAGGAATTTGTGGCATCTGTCCTGGAGCCCAGGCACATTAGGTTGTGCCCCAAGGGGTCTGGAAAAGGGGAAGTTACAAGTTACCCAGACATTTCAAGGATATGTTATCATAGATGCAAAAGATAGGTTCAGTTAAGGTAAAGGTTGACCTTGTCAGTGAAGACACCAGCCTAGGAGGTGACCACCCACCATTACTGCTTTCAGTTAAAGTTTAATTTCAGACCATCCTTTGTAGTTACTTTGTCTTTGAGTTTGCAAGATAGTCATGCAGGCCTTCCCTGAGCTTATAAGGTTAGTGTGTGGCCCCTTTCGTCCATACATCTCCCTTTTGGTCATAAATCAAACCAAAGGAGTCATGCATGTCTTGATGTGCAAGGTAGGTATAAGGCCTGATGAGTGGTTTTCTTTTGGTCTGTTTGTTTCTACCATTTTGAAACTACTATTTTATGATTTTTATGGTGTCAGGCCTTCATTCACAGGAGGTAGAGATGTTGGGTCAATATACTTTGGGTCTTTTTTTTGTTTTTTGTTTTTTGCATCATTTGTTCTCAAACTTGAACATGTGTGTAATCACCTTGGGAGCTTACTAAAAGTTTAATGCTCCTCAAGTGATTCTGATCAGTACATTGGGCCCATGAATTTGCATTTCTAACAAGCTCCCAGGTAATTCCAATCGGTGATTCTTCTTTGAGGCTCTCACTTTGAAGCTGCTGTGCGTTTTCTTCTAGAGCAGTGGTTCTCAACCTTAGCTGCACATTAGAATCACCTGGGAATCTTTTTAGAATCCTGATTTCTGAGCCTCATCCTCTGGAAATTCTGTTTCTTTGTTATGGGATGGGGCCACAACATTAGTAACAAAGAAACAGAATTTCTGGAGGGTGCGGCCCAGAAATCAGGCTTTTAAAAAGATTCCCATGCCGTAACCAGTTTGGCTCGGTGGATAGAGCGTCGGCCTGCGGACTGAAAGGTCCCAGGTTCAATTCCGGCCAAGGGCATGCACCATGGTTGCGGGCACATCCCCATTAGGTCGTGTGCAGGAGGCAGCTGATCAATGTTCCTTTCTCATTGATGTTTCTAACTCTGTCTCTCTCCCTTCCTCTCTGTGAAAAATCAATAAAATATATTTAAAAAGATTCCCAGATGATTCTAATGTGCAGCCAAGGTTGAGAACCACTGTTCTAGAGGGGTGCCTCCCTCTGCACATGGGTGGGTGTTCTAACAGGAAAGCTAAGCCATCAGCACTCATTCTGCTGGTGCTGAGATTCGCTGGAGAACTGTGATCCTGGGCTGTTTGTCCCACAGAAGGTGTTCTGTCCCCAGGCTGGCTGGCTCCGCTCCCCCCTCCCTCCCATACACACACCCTGGCCTGCAAAGGTGTCCTGAACCAGGGGATTTGTTTTTCTATCACCAGTGAAATAGTTATGAACAAATTGTGCAAAACCACCTTAAACCCTTGCTGTCTCCACTTTCAGGAAGCAGATTTCTTGGGAGAGGCAGCTAAGAGCTTGGCAGCTTCAGACACAAAGTTTGAGTTGATTTAACTCCTGCACTTTCTTTCCCCCTTAGTAGTAAAGGATTTTAGCTTCCATCCACTGAGCCAAACCGGTTTCGGCACGTGTCTTTTAAAATATGTCTTTGATTACAAGTGATAATGATCAGATTCCTAGTCAGCTTCTCATTTTTGGTCCATTAGAACTAATATTTTTTTTTTTTGCATGAGAGAAATTGTTATGTGTAGCTAAACCAATTGTTTTCTGTGTGATTTTCCCTCATCCTTTTAAAAAAAAGTTTCAATTGATTTTGAGAGGGAGAGGGGGAGAGAAAAACATCTATGAGAAACATCATTGATCAGCTGTCTCCTTCACGCCCCCTACTGGGTATCTTGCCTGCAACCCAGACTTATGCCCAACTAGCAACCTCTTGGTGCATGGGCCGATGCTCAACCACTGAACCCCATGCTATTGGGGCCCTCATCCTTACTTTAAACTTAGGAACTCCTGCTTGCTCTTATTCTGTAGATTTTTTTAATTTTTATTTTAGAGAGGAAGGGAGGTATGGGAGAGGGGGAGAGAAACATCGATGTGGAGAACATCGTTTGGTTGCCTCCCACACTTGCTCTGATCAGGGAGAAATCCACAACCTGGGTATGTGCGATGACCGATAATCAAACCTGCTACCTTCTGGGGCGATGTGCCAACCACTGAGCATCACCAGCCAGGGTATCCTGTAGAAATCTGATAAATATTCCTGCAGGTTTTCCTATTGGGATTTCTCAAAACCATTGAACATTTTGGACTGGTATTTGGAGGAAGAGGGTTATGCTTAAAACTTATTCCAATTTCTCCCAGATTAATAAAAATTAAATTATTAAATGATTCTGCACTTCTTACCCCCCATTACTTCCAAATTTAAGTGTATTTGGAGGTAGGGCCTATAAAGAGTTAATAAAGGTAAAATAAGAGTATATGGGCAGGCCTTTTCCCAGTATAACTGGTGTCTTTATAAGAAGAAGAATATGGACACAAGATAGGTTGAGCACAGAGGAAAGCCCCTGTGAAGACATACATAGCAAGAGGGCAACCATCTGCAAGCTAAGAGAGTCTTCAGAAGAAACCAAACCTGGGAATACCTTGATCTTGGACTTGTAGCCTTTAGAACAGCGGTTCTCAACCTGTGGGTCGCGACCCTTTTGGGGGTCGAACGACCCTTTCACAGGGGTCGCCTAAGACCATCGGAAAACACATAATTACATATTTGTGATTAATCGCTATGCTTTAATTATGTTCAATTTGTAACAATGAAATTAGGGGTCACCACAACATGAACTGTATTAAAGGGTCCCGGGCGTTAGGAAAGTTGAGAACCACTGCTCTAGAACTTTGAGAACAATAAATGTTGCTTAAGCCACCCAGTCTGTTTTGTTTTCTCTCTCCCTTCCCCTTTCTCTAAAATCACATTAGGTTGTGCCCCAAGGGGTCTGGAAAAAGGGAAGTTACAAGTTACCCAGACATTTCAAGGATACTAGTATGTTACCATAAATACAAAAAGACAGGCTCAGTTAAGGTAAAGGTTGACTTTGTCAGTGAAGATACTGGCCTAGGACATTAACTACCCACCATAACTGATGCCTCCTGCACGCCCCCTACTGGGAATCGAGCCCACAACCAAGGTACATCCCCTTGTCTGGAATTGAACCCAGGACCCTTCAGTCCGCAGGCCGACGCTCTATCCACTGAGCCAAACCGGTTTCGGCTGATTTTAGTTTAATTTCAGACCATCCCTTGTGGTTACTTTAGGTCTCTGAGTTTGCAAGACAGCCATGCAGGCCTTCCCTGAGCTTGTCAGGTTAGCATATGGCCCCTTTCGTCCACAGTGATCACCTATTAGTGGTAACCAAAGGGCCTATGACAGACATACCACTGCCCTGATCTTTAAAGTGAAGTTCTCTTAAAATTTATTTCAAATCCTCAACTGAGGATATTTTTCCATTGACTTTTGTTTTCAGACTGTGGAAGGAGGGGGAGAGGAAGAGAAACATCGATGTGAGAGACATATCAATTGGTTGCCTCCCTCATGCACCCTGACCAGGGCCAGGAATCCGAGGTTGGTGCTATTGACCAGAATTGAACCCCGGACCCTTCAGTCCGCAGGCCTAAGCTCTATCCACTCAGCGAAACTGGCTAGGACTTGAAGTTTTGTGTCTTAATTTTTAAAATGTTTATTTTAGAGAGGAAGGGTGAAGGAGAAAAACATCTGAGAGAGAAATAGCAATTGGCTGCTTCCTGTATGCCCCCTCCTGGAGATAGAGCCCCAAACCCAGGCTTGTGCACTGAAAGAATCCAATGGAACTGACCTAGGTGCATGGGAGGATGATCAGGGCCCTGAGCACAAATGCAAGTTTTCCTAACACCAAGATTGGTGCTTGCTCTTGTCTTTTAATCCCAGTGCCCAGCTGTTAACAGTTCACTTCCTTCTAGCATACACCTGGTGTTGGAGCTGCCTGGAGCCAGAAGCCAAATCTGACAAAGTTGCTAATTATCGCTACAATGGCATTCATAATGTATCAAATTAACATGTTACATACCTGAAACTTACATTGTATTTCAAACATCAATTTTAACCGTGAAAAGGGTGCCCCACTCCAGGTTTGGAGAGGTTTCCCAGTGAGGGCAGACTCCTTGGGCCAGAGGGGCCGCTCACTGGGCAAAGCCAGGTGTGTGCGGCCAAGGAGCATGAGGGAAGCCCCTGCCTGCGACCTCTGGCCGCTAGAAATCCTACAGGCCTCACCTGCTTGAGGACAGAAAGCAGCCTAGCGCTGATATTGCCTCCCCTTCTACCTGCCAAACAACAGACAGGTAGGTAATTCAATTCTTTATTAAGGAAATTCGATTCTTTTGTTACAATTTTAGATTTGTGCTTGCAAACATTTAACATTGGGGTGGGGAGGGGAAACCAGGAACATCCCACACCACCCTTTCCTTTCCCCAGCTTCTGCTGCAGAAGCAGGACCTAGAATAGGGCCCCAGAGAGGGGTTTTCGCTTGAACCTTGCTTGGCTCGCGCTCCGGGGCCCCGAAATGCCTTCACAACCTGGGAACTGGGCTCTGGGTAGTGTTGGGGGAGCTCTGGGTCGCCGCCGCCTAGACTGTGTTGGGGAACAGCTGGGTCGCCACCTCCCAGACAGCGTCGGGGGACCGCTGAGTCGCCTTCTCTTGAACAGCGTCAGGGGACCGCTGGGTCCCCTTCTCTTGAACAGCGTCGGGGGACCGCTGGGTCCCCTTCTCTTGAACAGCGTCGGGGGACCGCTGGGTCGCCTTCTCTTGGACAGCGTCAGGGGACCGCTGAGTCGCCTTCTCCTGGACAGCGTCGGGGGACCGCTGGGTCGCCTTCTCTTGAGCAGCGTCGGGGGACCGCTGGGTCGCGGCCTCCCGAACTTTGTCGGGGGATCTCTGGGTCTTGACCACTCGGACTTTGTCGGGGGAGGCCTGGAGCATAGCCATCCGGACTGCAGCGGAGAAGCTCGACAGCTCGGCCTGCTGGGCAGCGTTCTTCAGCGAACCTGGAAGAAAAAGCAGGTGAAGAGGCCGCACCTGTGTCCCCATACTCTCCTCCCACAGGAGTCACCCGTGAGGGCTGCAGGGGTGGGGCGGGAATCTGAGAGCACGGGGTCCATTTGGGCTTCTAGATGCCTTGCAAAGAGGAAGCCCATTCCCGGAGGCCTAAGAGGAGGAGACCGCTGCCCGGCCACACCCGGGACGCATCAGGGTCCCTCCCAAGTGAGCCAAGGTCGGCCCAGGCTTCCCCTTCCCCTTCCCGGCCCCCTACCTTGTGCCCGGAGTTGGCGGTGGTAGTGAGCCAAGTTCATGATCATCTTGGACACATCCTTTTGGTAAGAAGGCCGGCCAAAGATCAGGATCTCGGCCTCGCCTTCGGGATCCCACTGGTTAATGCGAAGCAGGGTCTGCGACACACACTCGACGTGCGGAATGTGCTCTCCGCCGGGGCCTGCACAGGAGGGAGAAGGGCCGTGAGGGGTGCGCAGGAAGGGGAGGTGTCGGGAGGGGGAGAATTGCCTGGGCCACAGAGGAGGCTTGCCCCCGGGTGCGGTGAGCCTGGGTGACGGGAGCTGGGGAAAGAAGGCCGCACTGGTTTCCCCTCTCCGGCCACTCACCGAAGATCGCTTCCACCAGCCACGCCTCGAGGTGAACCGTCTTCGGGCTCTTGAGGTACTCAACGTGGAACCAGTAGGGCTGCTTGGCGCTGTCGCCCAGCACCTGGAACGGCGCCCCGCCCCGCTGCTCCAGCTGCACGAGCGTGGGAAAGCGCTTGGTGGTGGCCATGCTGCGGCGGGACACGCGGACAGAACCGGTGCAGACGCAAGGGGGCCTGGCTACGGCAGCGGCTCGCGGGCCCCGGCCTTCTTATAAGGGCCGTGGCCAGCTCCTCCCCGTCGCGCCCTGCTCATTGGATTCCAGGCCTAGCTGTCCGCAGCCGGCATCGATCCCAGACGGCACAGGTGCGCTCTATTGGCCGTGGGTTCTCACGGGGCCCGCCCCTCCCTCCTTCCCCGCTCCCCGCACTCGGGGAGGGAGAGGCGGAGCTCTAGCGTAAAAGGGAAGATCCAACAGCAGGACAATATCCGCAGAGAAGCAAACCGATATTTTCAGGGACCCGGGTGCTTTTCAGACTGTTCTAATGGGGCCATTTTAGCATTCCTGAGGAGTTGGGATAACTTTCTAATGGAAAACTAATTAAATACACACACCAAAAAAAAAAAAAAAAGAGCAAAATTTCAAAGGGTAAAATAGTATTCAAGGGCTAAAGTCTCCCACTTCCTCCTGAACCCCTGACCAATGAGTTTCCTACCCAGAGCCAGCCCATTTCCAGTTTCTTCCTTAACCTGCCAGAGACAGCTGAACACAGCCAACAGCAGGTGGTCCGTGTGGGTTGGCCCTTAGAGGGGAGTCCCTTGACATTTTTGATGTCTTAATTCTCTAACACAATTGCATTTCCATTTCTCGATTTTTCTGCCCAGATTAAAGCATTACTTATTACCTGCTACTCAGGAAGATGAAGTTATTTAGCTCTCACAGCAGTAGTTGGGTATCATGCCCAGGCCCAGCGGGCTGAGACCCTCAGAATACAGGCTCATCCTTGAATCCTCCATGGAGATCTGTTGGCCAAAAAAGTGCATGAGAAGTTTGTAGGTGTTTGACATGGTCCACAGTCTTGAGACCTAAGCAGAATATGCATTAGGAGCCAAAGAAAGGCAACATCAATTCAAAAGGTCACAGGATTGCCCTGGCTGGTTTGGCTCAGTGGAGAGAGTGTCAGCCTGGGGACTGAAGGGTCTCTGGTGGACTGTCTAGGGTGGGGGGAAAAATGGACACATATCTCTATGAAATCAATAAAAAAAATTTAAAAAAATAAATAAAAGAAACATGACTACAAAACAAAACAAAGATAACAGGATGGACTTATAAACTCCTGTGGATAGGCATGAGAATTAGATGAATGTATAACTGAAACCCAAGGATCTGGGCTCCATGACTGCCTCCCCTGGAGCTATGGAGTCATTAACACAGCAACTATAAATTGAAATCTGAGGTCCCATCGGATTTGAAGGATCAAACCCAGGAAGCATCTCCATGACAATCTCTAGTCTGAAATCTGTTTCTTCTACCAAAATGACATAGGATGATAATACTTCCCCTTAGTTGACATAGGAATACTTGCAGTTCTATGCATATTGTTGTCACTTGTGTGTGCGTGTAGATCTTTTACTTCCTTGAAGTTTCAGAATTGGGTATAGAAATATTTAAGAGAATTAAACCATAGTATTAGTAATTATGTTAGAAAAGAATCTGTATTTAAATGAAATCCTAGACTATGAAAACTAATCTATAGTGGTAGAAAGCAGGAAGTGATTGCCTGGGAAAGGGGATGGAAGGAGGAAGGGATTAGAAAGAGACACTAAGAAGCTTGGGGATGATGGAAATATGCATAATCTTGATTATAGTGAAGGTTCCACTGGATGTATCTATATGTCAAAATTGGTCAAATAGTACACATTTTAGTATAAGCAGTTTATTGTACTGTATTCTTCAAAGTGGCTAAAAAAGAAGGAATCCATATGCATGGTATTTTATTTTCCTGTAATATTTTAGATAATTTAACATATTAGAGAAATAGTTTTGTAATTCCAATTTGAAATATATAAGTAATTGATTTAGATATGTGGGTTAAGATGAAATATTAGTTTATATGCAGTATTGGATTTCTGAAGAGAAATTCAGGTTCAACATAATAAATTGTATTTATTTGATTTATAGGAGTTATTTGGTAATTGGGAAGTTATTTGAGGCTTAAAGTACCTTGCAATGCTCTTTACCATGTATGAGAATATTTAGTTAATTAAATTTGTCAGTGGAACCTGTGATATTTAGAGACCATTAAATGTAATTGTTAAAACTTTCTGCCTGGTTCAGTGGCTAGAGCATTGGCCTTCAGACTGAAGGGTCCCAGGTTCAATTCCAGTCAAGGGCACATGCCCAGGTTGTGGGCTCAATCCCCAATGTGGGGCATGCAGGAGACAGTCCATTGATGATTCTCTCTCATCATTGATGTTTCTATCTCTCCCTCTCCTTTCCTCTCTGAAATCAATACAAATATATTAAAAAACAAAACTTTCTGCCTGGTCAGAGAGGCTCAGTTGGTTGAAGGTCTCCTGTGCATGGAAAGGTTGCCAAGGCACATACATGGGTTGCGGGGTTCCATCCCTGGTTGTATGGAAGGCAACCAATTGATGCACATCAATGTTTCTTTCTCTTTTCCTCTCTCTAAGCATGTCCTCAGGTGAGGGTTAAAAACACAAAAATCCAACTTTCTATGCTTATGAATGGGATAATAAGTTTTGAAAGTGAAACTTGGAAGCCTAAGAAAGAACTAAAGGTTTGGTTTTTATAATTTTCAGCAAAGAAAATATGACTTTTCAAATAAGCCATGGTCATAATAGCCAGCTGAGGGATTATTAGATAGAAGTTCCCAGAAGGTGGCCTTGGGAAGACCCAGCTTCATCTCTATCTGTGAAGCCCTAAAACATTGAAACTGTACCCTCATTGGGTGAACCCAGTACATTGCTTCAAGCAATATATTTTAAAAAATAAACCAGTTTATTTAGAGCCAGAGATCTGGACCATACGATTCAGTTCTAGTGGCCAGGCAGAGCCAGATGAGCTTCGAAATAGATTCAAAATTTCCAGGCTCAGGGGCTTCAAGGAACTGAACAGTGGGAGCACTTTAGAGTCCCTTTACCATAATGAATTTTTAAATCTCGTTTCCTCTTTGTTAAGTGACAGGAATGACTCCTGAGGTCCCAGAATTCACACCTGCGATGTGAAGACACAGGATCCAACCCTCAGAGAAGGACACGGACCCTCCTTTGGAACGTGGAAGGCCGAAAGTCTGAAACTCGATTGGCAGCTCCCGGGTGGTCCTCGCACCCTTAAACCTGGATTTCCTCTTTCTGGGGTTCAGGCCCAACCACTCGTTCCTGGGGCACGAGTAGCGCCTTTGCCCGCGAACTTCCAAGGCCCAGGGTTTCTGGTGCGGAAGAGTCAATCAGGTGGAAACCCTTGTAACCTTGTGACCTTGGGGACAACTGGGCCCACCAGCGCCCGGGAAGGTTCAGGAGGTCACCTGCTAGATCCGAGTGCAGGCAGGAGGCGGGGCGAGCAGCGCGATGTGAGCCCCGGATTGGGCCTCCAGGTGGGCTCTTCCGGGGCGTGGCCTGGATGGGGGCGTGGCCCAGCTGGAGGCGGGCCCTGGCTGGGGGCGGGGCCTGCCCGAGAGTTCAACTTGGCGCGGCAGCGGCGGCGCGGGTTACTCTCAGGCCTAACGTAACTCTGAGCGCGGGTTTCCTTTCGAGGCATTCGAGATGGGGACGATACCGAGACGGAAAGATATCCCCCCGTGGGTGAAAGTCCCCGAGGACTTGCGAGATCCGGAGGTGCTGCAGGTCCAGACGGCGCTGCTGGAAGCCATGTTTGGTAAGGGAGCCCAGTCCTGACTGGGGTGCCT